TACTACTAACTACTACTACTATTACTACTACTACTACTATTACTACTACTACTACTACTATTACTACTACTACTACTACTACTACTACTACTACTACTACTATTCCTATTACAAGAAGCCGCAATAGCCATGGTCAACCCCAAAGCTATGGGATTTAAATCGTTGCCTCGCTGCCGAGGCTCTGTTTTCCGAGGTCATGGAGCCGATGGCTCTTGATCCCTCGGAAGGGCCGGAGGAATGCCGGTAGACACACGACATACTGCGATGTACATATGTGTATACATATAATATAAATAGTTATATATATGTATATATATATATATACAAATATGTAGAATATGTATGTAGAATATGTATGTATATATGTACAATATGTATGTAGAATATGAGGCGAATGCACAATGCGTATGATTAGGTAATATTATGTCATATATTTATTATTTGCACACATGAACCAAACAAAACCAGCAAAATGGAGCTGGCCCACTACGACCATGACCATTGTAGGTCATGTGCGGTGGAACAGGCACCAAGGAGCCGTATGGTTCCCAAACATGACATGCAGCATATGCTGACATATACATACATATGCCACATACTTCCAGAGTTAGGTGTCATTTCATTTTTCTTCAACAAACGCTACTTGGGTAACCGAACTATATACTCGGGATTGGATCATGAATGACCATGATTTGAGTCAGGGTAACCGCCTTCACCATGGGAAAATAGACCATCATCGAGCCAGCTAAAGGGTTTGGAGCGCATGGCTGTTGGTCCAGCACTGAAGAGTTGGGAAGCAATATCTCCACTACTGTAATGACATGTAATGGGTTTTCAAGTGACTTCATTCGTTCCAAAAGATTGTGAACATGAACAAACATGACTATAATACTATATATGTGAATTGAACATCATTAAGCCCCAAGAAGAATTATCAACATAAGATCTACATCACATACTAGAAATCTCCAAAGTATCCAAAAATCCTATTTGTTCCTTAGTTAGTAAATCATCCCTTTTTTCGTATCACCTTCCCATCTTCACATCCTTTCGGCCCCGTTTTGGCTCCACGTTTCGCGCATCGAAACTCGCCAGGCCGCGGTGTTGCTGACAGAACTCGAACTTTCGCTTGGCCAGGTCCGGCGGGTCGAAGGGAAAGGCCAGGATCCAGGGGTCCATCTGCAGCACGGGACGCTCCTGGCGATCTTCCGATACGATTTTAGGATATCCTAAATGGGAATTATTATAGGATTATTATAGGGAATAAACATGGGATATATATATATATATTTATAGGATTATTAGAAAGGATATTATAGGGAATATAAATGGGATTTTGAAATAAAAAACGTAACGATTTCACAGAGTAAGTAGGGAATATGGTTGACTAAATGTGTAGAACTATAACTATAAATAACTATAACTATAACTCTCTCTCTCTCAACTATAACCCAATATATATATAACTGAATATATATTCTCTCTCTCTCTCTCTCCCCATCGTCATCCCGATATAACTGAATGTATATATATATATGGAATATCATGGAAGCTATAGGCACAACTTTGTTTGACCAACTTACACATGGGGATTAAGTATAGAGCTTAGGTTGATTATGGTTGACCAAATGTGGAGGGGTCCTGGAAATGTTCCTTGCAACCAATCCAATGAAACTCCTTACGTACTATAGTAGTATTAAAATTATCATGAATAGTATGGTGACATATGGAATTCTATGTGACGCATTTTTATTGGTAGATAAATAAAGTATTTTGCTGAATTCTAGATAATCCAGGAGAATTGATAATGTAATAATCAATATATAGTGAATATAGTGAAGTGTGGAAGGGATGGCTAGTTGAGGAGCATGGTTCACACATCTCCTTTCCCTAATCTATTGTATTCCATTTTGTTTCGGGAAGCATGGTTCCGGATGGTTCCGGGTCATTTGAATAACTGAGATGAATATCAAAGTCGGTGTCCCCTTACCGTAGCTATAAAAGTATAGGTCAATCTGGGACAAAATCCAATGTAGGCTTACCCTCCTTTAAAATCCTCACACAGGAAATGAAAATGCCCAATCTTTAACTCTGAAATCATTCCCTCTCTCTCGCTGTCACCCTATCGTCTGAAATCATACCATTCTCAGGCTGGATTACCAAAGGCCTGAGGTTCGGATGAAACAAGTAAGAATTTTCAGGGCTGCTCAGTTCTCGGCCTCCATCTCCTCTTTTTTAAACAGACACTCCCATGTCAAACCTCGAATTTGTTAAACAAACTGATTTTAATAACTGATTGAACAGCTTGTTTCTCACCTCCCATGGCCAAACTCCAAACTCCCCCAGGATGTCTCCCCCGGTTGTCGCCTCCTCACTACCTCGATGATCCAATCCCGGGGAAGCAATTTCGGTATTTGTTTGGGTCTTTGAAGATGGGAAAATGGATGAAACACATATCTGTCAATGCAAGTCAATGGATATATGATATAAATATGTATATATATATATTGATTGATATATGATATATGGTCAATCTTAGGGAACATATCTATACATATCTGGTGTTATCTGCCAAAAGGGAGCTTGAAAGCAACGAAAATCACACACAAACTATCAACAATTGACTATTTTTTTCAGATTTGAAGAGCAACTGCATATACCTAAAGCCAGTGGAATTACTTCCTGAAAATTTGGCGTCCCCTTGGAACCTGAGTTTTTACCCATGCCCATGCCCCTTTTGAAGGAGCGTGGGCCATGTGTTCCTTGTTGGTGGACCATCAATCGACATGCCTTTTTGGCGTCCAAGGGGGTAGCCCGGTTGCCAGATGAGTCGCTAACGGTCAACCAAAATATGAACTATTATAAGATTATTATATAATGATTTGATGATCTGATTAACATAATATATCATTATTATTATTAATCAATGGATTAGATTATTAACTATTCTATATATATACACATATATACATATTATATACATATCTCTAAATCAATGAATATGTTCATGGATTTTTTGATTGCTGATCAGCCCCCCTGGGTGAATCCAATCCCAGGTGCTTGAGGATGATGATTCCTCTTCAATCGTCTCACCTTCGCCGGGTGGAAGGTGATTTCTGAAAGCAACATCCAGCCAACCAAACCAATCTAACAGGATTATGGTTTAATATGTTTTAATATTACTCTAGACTCTAGTCACTCTAGTCTAGTTCTTTCTGTTCAAGTTTTCTTTGAACAAAGATCACAGTGTGCTCATTGCTCATCATTCATCATCCATCTCTCAACATAGCCTTGAATTGATCTCTTTGCAGGGCAATCCTGTATTAACAGGCCTGGAAATGCACAAGAAAATCTGCAACATTTTCCTCAGGAAAATTCCCTTGTCGACTCCTCTCCATCCACTCCAGAAACTCCACGAAAAAGTGATGAGCTTCGGAAAGACAACATGTGGCCAGGTTAGAATTCATATTTCCACAGTTTCCCATATCCGGGGAACAAAAAATCTTGCCGCGGAAATCAGTAACAGATAGTAACAATAAAAAAGGAACAATTTTGGATGCCGCGCGGCCGCGCCTCCTTCATGCGCGCCGCCGCCGGGTAAAGGTGCACCGCTGGGAGTGGAACGACCTGCTTTCGGTTTTTCGAAGGGAAAGCTGACAGATCAAACCTGCTACAGTACCATACACTACCAACACATGAATGATTCTCACCTCACAAAATGACCTTTTGGATGCTTTTGGAAACCAACTGTGCATCTTGATCCAAACATTCAAAAGGACAAACAGTCCATCTTTACCAATTGTGAGGCTCCGTGAAGTTGCCGAGTGATGTCAAAAATTGCCCCAGAAATGATCGAAATCATGTCAAAAATTGCCCCAAAAATTCCCTCATTGTTCCGCTTCCAAATCATTGACAATATTCACTTAGGAATGCCGTGAAATTGTGAACTTTTCTGAACCATTTTTGGACGCTCTCCCGCTCTCCCAATTTTTATGGGCTTTTGCCACGGAATCTTGAGTCGGACCGGGAGCAGGTGCCCCAACCACACACCAGAAATATATGTCCGGTAAACTAACAGTTTGCTACGGAAAATCGCCACTTTACAGGTAAATTATAAGTGATTCAACGAACTAAATGGGTCATGTGAAAATTGCTATGTGAAATCATCAGCACATGCTAGTTTCCCCAAGCTACCATGTTGCCTCGTACGTGGGAATCATCCCTGCCCTCGAGCATAGCAAGTGGTTTTCGCAGCAATGATCGGCGGTATCACTGATGGCCCAAACTAGTCATAGCTGTCATAGTTCCATCTTATCATGGATTGAACAAGGCAATTTTAAATGGGTAAATCAACTATAAATGGCCATGTTCAAAAGCAAACTGTTGAATTACCAGAGGGTATCTCATATTTTCACATCCATGATAAACTCACCTCCAAGTAAAGGAAAGAACATTGTATACACACTCTGGAGAAAATTTCATCAAAATATCATCAACCATCATGTTTAAATTGGTATAAGTCCTGTTCCCCTCCCAGAAACAGGTATAGTATTCAATATATTAATTATTGTGGTTCATTTGTTCGGCAAAGGCAAAGGTGTGATTCTTGATCAGCAGGATGAAATTAGTTCAACTGTACATCAAAACGCGCTCTAGCAAATAAGAACAATCCCCATGGATACGAAAAACAGGATTAAAATCATTTACAGGATCTAGAAGCATCTAGAAGTCTAGATGAAGTATTTATATATAGAAATACCTAGAAGTATTCAGAGCATGTCATGGTGATGTTCTACTTCCAGTCGTCTCTTACCTTTTCAAACCATCCCGTAAAACCCCTCACCTGAGGCACCAGGTGAGCTCGATGCCTGGACCCATGCCGGGTTTTATGGTAAATTTGTTAGTCATCTTTGATGCCCTGCCTATGTATATTTATACAATTATATAAAAAAATATGTATATATATATAATTAAACATATGTATATATCATCAATATATATATATATATAATACTATATGTTCGCATGTATTGCATTATTAAAAAAACATATCTCTATGATTCTCTATGTATCTGTGCGAAGCATCCTCCCACAACACCTTTTTTAAAAGAGTCATTCAAAACTATTTTGTAGTTAGTGGAATCTTAATTCTCTATCTTTCTGATGGTTGCCATACAAACTCTGAGCTGGCTAGTCTCCCATAGGTGTTTCCTGTAGATGTTCCCATCCACCAATCATTTCGCGGTATCACCTCTCAGGTACCTACTACCAGCGCTAAAATTATACAACACTTCGACCTGCCAGATAGAGAATTGGAAGACATATTTCCTCTAAACGTCGCCAATTCTCAGGGTCTATTGTGGTATATTGTCTCTTTGACCCCGGAGCTTACCATGCCCAGTGTTTCAAGCAGCTACTTCGAAATTCTGGATGTTCTGTGAACATGTGTGATTGCCCCCAAACTTTTGAGATAGTGATACTAGCTCAGTAAACATGATGCTCGAAAGTAAAAGTAGTAGCAGTGGCAGTAGCAGTAGCAGCAGCAGCAGCAGTAGTAGTCGTCGTCCTTGTTGTCGTCGTCGTAGTAGTAGTAGTAGTAGTAGTCGTAGTAGTAGTCGTAGTAGTAGTAGCAGCAGCAGTAGTAGTAGTAGTAGTCGTAGTAGTAGTGGTAGTAGTAGTAGTAGCAGCAGTAGTAGTAGTAGTAGCAGCAGAAGTAGTAGTGGTAGTGGTGGTGGTGGTGGTGGTGGTGGTAGTAGTAGTAGTAGTAGAAGCAGTAGTCGTAGTCGTAGTCGTAGTGGTAGTCGTGGCCGTAGTGGTAGTAGTAGTCGTAGTGGCAGTGGTAGTGGTAGTAGTGGTGGTAGTAGTAGTAGTAGTAGCAGCAGTAGTAGTAGTAGTAGAAGTAGTAGCAGTAGTAGTAGTAGTAGTAGTCGTAGTCGTAGTAGTAGTGGTAGTAGTAGTAGTAGTAGTAGCAGCAGTAGTAGTAGTAGCAGCAGAAGTAATAGTGGTAGTGGTGGTGGTGGTGGTGATGGTGGTGGTGGTGGTAGTAGTAGTAGTAGTAGAAGCAGTAGTCGTAGTCGTAGTGGTAGTCGTGGCCGTAGTGGTAGTAGTAGTCGTAGTGGCAGTGGTAGTGGTAGTAGTGGTAGTAGTAGTAGCAGTAGTAGTAGTAGCAGTAGTAGTAGTAGTAGTAGTAGAAGTAGTAGCAGTAGTAGTCGTACTAGAAGAAGTAGTAGTAGTAGTAGTAGTAGTTGTAGTAGTAGTAGTAGTAAGAATAGTAGTAAGAATAGTAGCAGTAGAAGTAGCAGCAGCAGCAGCAGGAGCAGGAGTAGTAGTAGTGCTAGTCATGAGAATGACATTAATACTGACAATTAGCATGATAATATAGATCCACCAGCAACAACAACAACAGCAATCACGTCAAGGCACATCAGGATTGTCTTTGTCCTGGCATTTCGCATTTCGGTTGGCGCTAGATCCAACCCTAAGGGAATCAATTGTGGAATCCAGGCCCATGAAAATCTACGTTGAGAGAACATTTACACATCAACAATTGGAATCTAGCCATGTTTAATGATGGGTAATTATTGTGTAGAGGTAAAGATTGTATCACTCAACGCCCAAAACGGATGGCGTAATTCTAAAGAAAACAGCGTTTTCATTGCATTTCAGTTTTGACCCATGCCAGAGGTCAGTGGAAAGCATAGGGAAATCCTCATTTGCACATGGTCTTCCATTTTAACAACCATTTTGAAAGGAATTTCCCCTTGCCCTGCTTAAATGCCCAGTGGTAACTGCTTTGTGTGCAACCAGCAGGTGCAGTCCCCAGGGACCCAAGGTGACCCAAGGTGACCTTCATTACCCATGACGGATCCATGGTGCTGGTGTATATATGCTAACATAAAGGGGGTATATTGATGGGATCCATGTTACCATATATATATATAGCATACATGGATCCTATGGGTTCTGACCATGCAGGTGGTATCAACTGTTTCTCCTTACATGGTTTGTTGTTTCAGTTGTTTCTGCTGAGTTTGCCACCCGCCTCAACGCCCGCGGGTCGCGGCCCGGCCTTGCCAATGCGTGAGTTGAGGCCCAGCCAGTCCACCGTCAACTCTTCGGAGGCCTCGCCTGGTGCACCCAAAAATTCAGTGGAAAATCATGGGTAAATATCAGTAAATGGGTTGATTATCCCATGTAATACTGGGGATCTGGTGGGAAAATTATGGGATATCATTTGATAATGGGTGGGAATAGTTCCGAGCGCTAAACCATGCTAAACCAAGGTTTTAAGGTTGGCATTGCATATTTACATATATGTACATGTCTTGAATATGAGGGGAGGGTATGATTAGAGACCTGCCCCCGTTAATAATAAACACATATAAACACCCTGTCCCCCAGAAAACATGGTTTAGCAAAGACTTTACATATCTTTGGGACCACACAATTGGGCTGTGAATAATATGGTGGGGGGCATGGGATTAATGTGGTGAACCCACTAGCCAAAGCAATCCCATTTGCCAACCACTTTACATCATCCCAAATAAGGGTACACCCAGTAATGAACCTCTAATTTTTGGACATAGGTTTATTTTTTGGATTTACCCATCTGATGTTGGATTATTTGGGTTCATCTATTTTCATATTGTTGTGAATGGGTTACTGTACCCCCTGATATTCGGGGATTTACATGTACTAATGGGGGATATTGGGGGATGGGAAGTCCAGATCTTCCGTGCCTGCATCCGCCCTCTCGGCGTTGTCCGTCGCTGCAGCCGCCGCAGAATCGGCACTGGCCGCGGCGTCCGTGGCGGCGGAGTCGGCGTCGGCGGGGTCCGCGGCGGAGTCGGCGGGGTCCGCGGCGGAATCGCGGTGCGGGGGCTTCTCGGGTGGTTCCTGAGACGAAGGGGCAGGGATTACGGTATAGGAATACAACAGGGATGCAACATGATGCAGCACTTGTTTGAGTTCGACATGTATAAACACAAGATAGATAGATAGATAGATAGATAGATAGATAGATAGATAGATAGATAGATAGATAGATAGATAGATAGATAGATAGATAGATAGATAGATAGATATATATATTATATATATATTTATGACAAGTCATGTATAAATGTAATATATATATATAAGAAAATAAATGTTAGTTGCATAGATATAAACTAAATATCATAGCAAACAAATGCAAACAACAATAGGTATTACAAGACTTGCATCTGTGATTTCGTTGCTTTTTTTTGGATGCAGGCAAACAAGTTGGAATATCTCTTAGAAACCAGTGGATGATGTGCATCCCAAGAATCACTAGTCCAAGCACTTGTGGGTTAACCCTGCAATTAAAGATGGGTTGTTAAGCGAAAATGAGCAGCCATCAAGTATGATGGAGGACATGAACCCCTTGATTCGCAAGCACCAAAAATGGTTCCAGGCATGCGGGGCATGGGTCGCACCTAAAGGACCTGGACTCTGCAAAAAAAAAGGCGATGCCAGTAATGAGAACATCATTTGGGTGTTTCTTGCGATTGGGGGCTCCAAAAGCCCGTGGAGTCTTCCTGTGCAGCAAAGATGTTTAAACAACAATCTATTTTGGACGGTGTTGGGATCCCCAATCTTATGGAACTGACAACTGGTCGTTGGGGTCATGACCATCAACCATCTGAACAAATGCTCAAAATCTTTCAAATGGAATGTTTCCAACACCTTTCAACTTAAGGTTTTGGGAGCACAACCCAATAGTATCAAAGCATGTAGATGATCATATTGGTGGATGCCATGTCCAACAAATCTGAAACATCAAGGCCAAGCTCTCCCTTTCCAATCTTTCCATTCGACCAAGCTACCAATTCTTTGATTTTCTCCTGCAGCTTCCGAATGTCTTCCAAGATATCCTTCCAACGGCAAGTGTTCGGGCCCCAGGGGGCGATCTTTGGCCAACTGGGGCACCACAAAACCGGATCTGGCCACCTCTGATCCTTATGCTTTTCCCGGCAACGTGGGGAACCCAACGCAGTAATTCAATAAACCTACCATTGTTCAGGACGGCTTTTACCAGCCAACTTATTACTTATGGTAATGTAGTAATATTGGGATGGTTCCTGCCTGGGTTCTACCACATGTTTTGGATTTGAGATAGCGACCTCACAACGACCTCTAGGTCCTCTAGGTGTAAATTGCAAGAGAAAAAACGGGATCAATCGTCAGTGATGTTCTTCTTGGTTGTGTTTCACTATCAAAAGAACATTGATAAGATCTGGCGTTCTGAAAAACTTTGAGAGACCTGATGTTTTCTCCATGAAATTTCATGGTTTCCCAAAGATCAGTCAATTGGCTTAGGGGGGTTGAGTGAAAAGGAAATTCAGGCTTTCATCAGTGAATATGGCCAGGTCCTGCGGGGTATCACTCTCTCCAACTCTGGAATTTAATAACAGTCTTTGATTCATCTAGTGCCACAACGAAGGTCAAAATGGGTCCCAGGCAAATTAATCCAAATATAATTAGATGCTAAGGTATGTCTCAACATATTAGTAGATACGATAAATTGTCCACCCGATTTTGCACTCTCATCTGGGTAGACCTAGATAAAAATCTGCAAAACAAAATCAGGCTTGACGCCTTCCTCCGCTGGTGTCCATTGGCGATATCTGCCCGGTGAGTCTGCAAAATGCGCTCCATCACAGCTCCTGGAGCCCGCCGCTTTCAAGCAATGGGGGAGACACAGGCCGGCAAGATGGGGAACACATGTGGCGGGTACTTATCCTAAATGTTCATAAAATCACGCTCGCACATGTGATTTAAGGATACTCAAGACAATTTTGGATGTTTTCCCCACGTTTAACTATAATTGATGATGTGGCTTGAGTTCGCCTATGTCAAAAAACGATGGCCATGAGACTTGCCACCGATCACCACTGAGAACATCCCTCTTCACCTACGACATCCTAAGACCCCAGGTGTCGTACTTTCTCGCATGCCTGATAGCTGCAAACAATATGTATATGTTCACATAGACATGCAAAGAATCTAAGACACACAAAGTAGAAAAAACAATCCAGCACATATATACGTATTTATATAGTATAAACATATTTCATATAAGAAAAATAAAACATGATTTATTCAATGCACTGCCAACCCTATCAAAGAAACTTGAGTGACTGAAGGAACTCCTTCAGTCAACCCCCTCCGTGCGTGCATTATTTGCAGGACGTTTCAGCCCATCTCTGTTTGACGGGCTCGCTATAGCTGGGCACCTTTGAACCCAGCAGATCTGCAGAATCCAAGAAGGCCACGGATCGGCGCGTTAAAGGGGCGCCGTGGCGACTATACGCCAAGGGAATGTTCATCCCTTGGCGAATCTGGTGGATCCGGTGGATGATGCATTTGAATACAGTGCCAATGAGGATCAAAATATATCAAAATGATCATCCAAGTGATAATCAACACTAATTAATTAATACTATGATGAGTATGCAAACGCCCCATCCCCCATCCAAGATCACTGAAAGCTAGGCATGTCGTGACTCTTTGCAAATGGCCACTGGATGCCCTGGATGCCCTGGATGACCCCGACACCTTCGCCTCAGTGCAACATCAACAGGAGCGCAACGGCGGCCAGGGCAATGTGGCCAGCCTTGGAAGTTTCCACAAGCGAATGGTCGATGTCCTGAGAGGCGGGAAAGGGATCATCTTGAGCTGAGATGGTTGTGATGATTGCAGCCACAAGCGTAAATATGCAAGAAACTATCGCAACTCTATTTTCAGGTGAGTATCAGTGACCATTAGAAGTTCAACAGATCCATCTGCCAGTGTATCAGCCAGCTATTCTAAATCACACCTCTGCCCGTGTGTTTAAGCAAAAGAAAGAAATTACACCACCGTAGGCCTCAAACAGTGGGTGGATTCAAGAAGTGTTTTGAGGAACAGGGTCAAACACATGAAATAGCAGCGACAGGAATCGTGAACATGTCTGCCATAAGTGCCAGAAACCACTTCACATTTAGTTTTTGTTGGTTTCCCTTGCTTTGTCGGAACGTTAAATGCCGAAAAACGATGAAGGAAACATCCGATGGGGGTGCAAGTATCTGGATCCAAACACTCGAATCAAGCAGCTTAGGATTGTCAAATTGAATGTAAGGAAAATATCGGAGGATGAAAGTGAAAGATGACATCATTCTCAACCCCCAAGCCTACAGCTTCCAAGTGGGCGAGCAGCTTCACGCTAGAAACGTGCATTCACTAATTTGTAAAGCATCCACAAAAATGGAATATAAGACCACTCGCCACAAAGGGAAACAAAAAGGGAAACAAGCTGGGCAACAAGCTGGCAAACAGGGGAGACAAGGCCTTGGGAAGACGGACGCGCCTTCCAACAAAGGTTTGCAAGAAGTGAGAGAAGCTGGGAGACAAGCTGGGAGACAAGCTGGGAGACAAGCCGGGAGACAAGCTGAGAGACAAGCTGGGAGACAAGCTGAGAGACAAGCTGGGAGACAAGCTGGGAAACAAAGGGGACAAGGACTCGGAAAAAAACACACCATCCAACAAAGGGAAACAAGAAGGGTTACGATGGGAGACAAAGGGAGACAAGACCCTTGGGAAGGCGGACACACCATCCAACAAAGGGAAAAAAGAAGGAAGACAAGCTGGGAGACAAGATGAGACAAGGCCTCGCGAAGGCGGACACACCATCCAACAAAGGCACACACATAGGGGGTGGTAAAATGGGAGACAAGGTGGGAGATAAGCTGGGAGACAAGGGAGACAAAGCCTTGGGAACTGGGATACAATGCGAGAGACAAGCTGGGAGACAATCTAGGAAACAAGCTGGCAGACAAGTTGGGAGGCCCCGGGAAGGCGGACACACCATCCAACAAAAGGAGACAAGGGAGACAAGCTGAGACAATCTGGGGGACAAGCTAAGAGACAAGAGGGACAAGGCCTCGGAAAGGCGGAAACATCATCCAACAAAGAGCAACAAAAAAGAAGACAAGCTGGGAGACAAGCGGGGGGACAAGATGGAAGACTAGCTGGGAGACAAGCTGGGAGACAAGGGAGACAAGGCGACACACCATCCAACGAAGGGAAACAAGAAGGAAGACAAGATGGAAGACAAGCTGGGAGACAAGCTGGGAGACAAGGGAGACAAGGCGACACACCATCCAACGAAGGGAAACAAGAAGGAAGACAAGCTGAGAGACAAGCTGGGAGACAAGCCGGAGACAAGATGGGAGACAAGCTGGGAGACTAGATGGGAGACAAGCTGGGAGACAAGACTAGATCGAAGACAAGCTGGGAGACAAGCCGGGAGACAAACTTGGACACAAGCTGGGTGATTCTACCGTCGGCGGCCCCACAAGCAAAACAAACCGAATCAAACACAAATACCATGTGCCCCATCACTCGGCAATGCAACGGAGTACAGATGGCTAAAGCCTCTTTTAGAAACAAGAAACCACATCAATGCCAACAAAGGGATCCCAACCAAAGGTAACCCTTAGTTAAGCCCAAACCGGCATCACCCTGCACACACCAAACCCCTTTCTTTTTTGACTCGCAATGGATGGAACAACACCAGATTTCTACTCTGGCCCTTGCACATAACATCAGCTGTCCAGCTGACCAGCACTGCCCGTGCTTCCCCCCCCCGGTTAAAAAAAAAAGTGCGGGTGGGTGGGGGAAACAACAGCAACACCTGTCAAAAGCCAAGTGGTCCTAACCAATACAGTAGGAACCACAACACAATCAGCAAAGCTGGACATAAATCAAAGCAAGCACATGACCAACCATCATGCTCCCGGGGGTCCTAACAATCTTAAGACTGGAAACCCCGAACACAGAAGGGCCTAGACTATCGCAACACCCTATGTGGCCTGGGGTGCCACTCCACGAGACAAGTTGGGAGACAAGCTTGGACACAAGCTGGGACACAAGCCGGGAGACAAGTTGGGAGACAAGCTGGGAGACAAGCTGGGACACAAGCTGGGAGACAAGTTGGGAGACAAGCTGGGAGACAAGCTGGTAGACAAGGAAGGCAAAGCCTCGGGAAGGCGGACACACCATCCATGGAACAAAGCGAAACAAGAAGAAAGACAAGCTGGGCGACAATAAGGGGAGACAAGGGGAGACAAGACCTTGGGAAAGCGGACACACCATCCAACACAGGCACACATGCGGGGAGACAATGGGAGACAACCTCGGAGAGAAGGGGAGACAAGGCCGTGGGAAGGCGGACACACCTTCCACACACTTGAGAAGGTGGACACACCATCCAACACAAGCAAACATGTGGGGAGACAAGGGGAGACAAGACCTCCGGAAGGCGGACACACCATCCAATACAGGCATGCGTGTGGGGAGACAAGGGGAGACAAGACCTCAGGAAGCGCATACCATCCAACAAAGGGAAACAAGAAGCGGTACAATGGGAGACAAAGGGAGGCAAGACCCTCGCCAAGGCGGACACGCCATCCAACAAGGGGAAACAAGAAGGGTTACGATGGGAGACAAAGGGAGACAAGACCCTCGGTAAGGCGGACACGCCATCCAACAAAGGGAAACAAGAAGGGTTACGATTGGAGACAAAGGGAGACAATCCCCTTGGGAAGGCGGACACACCATCCAACAAAGGGAAACAAGAAGGGTTACGATTGGAGACAAAGGGAGACAAGACCCAGGCGGACACACCATCCAACAAAGGGAAACAAGAAGGGTTACGATTGGAGACAAAGGGAGACAAGACCCTTGGGAAGCGGACACACCATCCAACAAAGGGAAACAAGAAGGGTTACGATTGGAGGCAAAGGGAGGCAAGACCCTTGGGAAGGCGGACACACCATCCAACAAAGGGAAACAAGAAGGGTTACCATTGGAGACAAAGGGAGACAAGACCCTTGGGAAGGCGGACACACCATCCAACAAAGGGAAACAAGAAGGGTTACGATTGGAGACAAAGGGAGACAAGACCCTTGGGAAGGCGGACACACCATCCAACAAAGGGAAACAAGAAGGGGATAGAAGGGGCACAATGGGAGACAAGACCCTGGGGAAGGCGGAACACCAAGGCGGACACCTTAAGAAAGCATTAAGAACCCCTAACAGTACACTGTTTGGGCAAAAACAGAAACCGACCTCGAACCTCAAAGATCGTATAACAAATGAAATTCCACCTCCATTGTTTCTGATAGGTACTTGCAGGTCACGGAGAAAACTAGAACCTACCAAAATCCGAGGGAAACAACTATGATGTAGCCGAAACAAAAGACATCACATTATATGTTGATCATGCATCACTTGGAAATATGTGGCCAATATTAGTCCAATTCACCTCTCCAATGATTAATTGAGCATATCATTAGAGTCACCTCTATGAATGTTGATCATCGCCATCCAGCGGCTAACGTTTATCCATTGGAGCACCCCAATTAAAGAATGAACCATTTCTCTATATATACGTATGCATACATAGCTGAAACACGTAAAACCTATAATTATTCATCATTAGGGTTAGTTATGACAGAGACAGCAGCCACATTGTAGTTTTGGCTTAGTAGCGGGTTTGCATCTACTATTAGGATTCTTACAGGCGATGTGGGTAGGAAAAACATTATGATCTATTAAGATCAATTATGAACAACTATAAAGCATTGTTGCGCATTAAACAAAACATTCGGCAGCATTAAACAAACATTATGAAAATAAAAAAGCATTGAAATATATGATAAAGCTTTGTCTTGCATTGAAAAACATGATGAAGAATTATAACATTAAAAACAAAAACGTTGCTGTAAAGCATTAAACCGCATTCTCAAACAGTATAATGCATTAAAAACATTAAAATCAAAAAACACTATACCGCATTCTAAAAAAAAAACATTACAAAACATCGTAGAGCAATATAAAGCATCAAACAAAATAAACCATGCTAAAGCATTATAAAACATAATCAAATAGTATAAGGCATTATATATAGAACATGTAAGAACATTATAAAGCATTCTCAAGCATTAAAAGGGACATTGTAAAGCATCTCAAAGCTTTATAAAAGATTGTAAACTATCATAAAGCACTATTAACCTATTAACCGTAAACCATTGTAAAACATTATGAAGCATGCTAAAGGATTTAAATAATGAAACAAAACATTAACACTCGTTGAAAAGCATTATTACACCTTTATAAATCATAATACTGCAAATGGAGCATAATCAAACATTTCAGAGTATTATTATCAAACATTAAAAGCATAATAAAGTATTCTCAAGCATTTTGGAGCATTATCAAACATTAAAAAGCATTATAAAGCATTTAAAAACATTACAAAGTATTCTCAAGTCTCAAGCATTTTGGAGAATTATCAGACATTAAAAAGCACTATAAAGCATTTAAAAGTATCATCAAGTATTCTCATGCATTTTGGAGCATTATCAACAATTACTATCCCATTTTATCCAGCCAACCCCTGCCATGGCTCTTCCAAGCACACCTGCGCGCCATCTGCGCACAGCACCACGCCGCGCACAGGAGTCACTTCACTGGGAAGACCTCCGCAAAGCCCACGGCTGCCGTTGCCTTGGCGCAACAGATTGATGCAAGGGATTGGTTTATATATGCAATGAGTAATATTGATTATTACTACTTATTTATGTATTTAAAACAATTGACACAGACACACTTACACATATGTATATATATATACTATATTTTATTCAACATATGATTGTGTATGTGTAGATTATATTTGATTAGATTTAATTGGATTCAATTAAAATTAGATTGAGATTATAGATGTATTAGATTAAATTTAGATTATATCTATATATTATATGTATAGGTTGGGTTACAGTAAATAAATGGATGATTATGGCGCTCAAAACCTGCATCCAACCATCATGGATTAGAGTTTAATGTTGGTGATTTGCTTCAATGAAGCAATTCCAAAGACAATCCCCCACCTACCCCCCAAAAATACTTTACTTCGAGTGATTTTCACCATGGCATTTCAAGGCATCTCTAGTATGCGCTGGTTTTAACGCAAACCAACAATGCACTATATACCTTGATAGAAACACCACATCAAAACATCACACCACATATGTTCTGGCATTCTATCTGGCATTCTCTCCGACATTCTCTCTGACATTATCTCTGACATGCTATCTGACATTCTATCTGATTGAGGTCCGGCAGTGCCCACTGAGATCTGGCGCTCGCGGTTGAGGGCGGACTCCGTGGCGGATGGTGGGTGGCAGCTCTGATAAAATCTAGCGACGCTCAGGTGGCAGGTGGGGAAAAATTCTACCTTGTAGCCCTGTAGCAATTCAATTTAAATTTTAAATTGCCGGACAATTGAACATTTATAAAACGATTTACCTGATAAAATGATTATTTCCATAGCTATATTGATATTGTATAAATTACCTGTATGCACATGAATGATTTCCAATTTCAAGTTGGTTCTTTGCCGACTGGTTGATTAATTGAGGTGTATCGCCGCTGAACAGCAAATAGGGAAAACATGCCGGGTTTGGGGTCCATGTAAGCCACCCCAAGGCTAGGATTCCAATCCTAGTTCCTATTTAATTCTTATGAAACAAGTACCCTCCGGTAAAGCAACAGTATGCTGTAGAACATCACCATGTTTGATATGTAAATCAACTTTCCTGGTCAGTTTTCCATAGCAATCATGTTCTATGAAATTACCGGAGGGCAGACCGATGATTTCCCAGTGACTATTTCCATCATTTTCCAGCCAACGGTTGATGAAAAACCATATTATACTCCCAAAAAAAACCCTAGATCATCCCTATAAGTCACCATTCATCCCGTTTCATCCCTAAAAAATCCCTAAGTCTCATGGTGAAGCCCCAAGATTTTTTTCAGATTTCGCCACGGCCCAGGGCTTCCGAAAAGGCACGACTTTCGCAGCTGACCTGCAGCGCGTTGTAGTCCGTGCCGACGAATGGACGGATGTTGTCCTCCTTGTCGTCGAAAAAGTACCTTGGGTCGGGGCTTTCAGGATACTAAAAATGGAGGTACTGTACCATATGTTTAGGACATATAAGAGTATAATATAAGGCCATATAAGAGTATATAGTCGGATACTGTGAAATTTAAGGATGTACCATAAAAGAGTATATATATATATATATAGATAGGCCATAGGCCTGGAGGTAGGTAGCTCCCATCAATGGGTTCCGTCGGTTCCTGGCCATTGGGGCGCCCAGTTGAACTGGACGCACTCTCGATATCAAAGTTGTGGATATGGGGGTAACTCATTCCAGTTAACAACTGGTTGGTGGTTTCAACCCCTCTGAAAATTTTGAAAGTCAATAGGAAGGATGACATCCCATATATTATGGAAAATAAAAAATGTTTGAAACCACCAACCAGGTCAGGGATTGACCAACTATAACTGCGCATACCCGTTTTTTTCTGGATAATTCACCATAACTCACCAACCCAACAAGGACAAATTTGGGAGAGTTACCCCAATCCATCAGCTCTCAATGCCCGTTTCAGTTACAATTACCTACACTGAATTGCCTACCATATATATCCATATATAAGGTCCATGAAAGGGCTATCTCAGTGGATACGCCACCCATGGACTCCGTGGGTCCCCGGAATGGTTATGATTGGGAAAATTATTGGATATTATTGGATAACCTGCATGGGTAACCACAGGATAACCTGAATAAAAAATCATGGAAATCATCTCTCATGTCAAACCATTGTCATTGGGTATGATTGAATATTGGAAATCATTATGTGGGTCATTGTGGGTCAAATGCCCGCGTGTTCTTGGTGAAGCGTTGGTTGCAAGTTGCATTGATCGAATCCTATCAAGTTACCCATGAATCATGGGCAGATTTTGCAGTGGCATACCGCGGCATACCATTTGTAGAATTGGTGTAATCGATGGTATCTACATTGAGGTGTACCTGCATAGATATTTATATATATATATAAAATATAATTATATATATATATATATCATTCACCACTACAAACATTGCCCTCTGTCCCTGCCACTAGTTGATAAATGCGGTCCATATGGGATCGGCATCGCTGCGGCATTGCTCGTGTTGATGTTCGTTGCAAAACGACTGGCCGTTGCTGGTCATTCCTCCCATTTTTCGATATTTGTGGCAAATGATGAAGTTGTAATACCCTTCACCGAGCCTCCCTTGCAATGCTGAGTTGCACATCCTCATCCAAAATGGTCACATTGCGCTCGCTGCTGTACCACTCAACGATCTTGCTGACGCAGCGGTGCTTTCCGCCTTCCCCGCACCACACCACGAACGGAGCCTCGCTCTCCTGGGCGACCAACAACTCAACATGGGGGATTCAACCCCCCACGAAAGGATCAATTACCCTCTGGTAATTTAACAGTTTGCTATTGAAAATGACCATAGAAATAGTGGATTTTCCCATTGAAAATGGTGATTTTCCATAGTTATGTTAGTTTACCAGAGGGTATCAACCATTCAGTTTTTTCAGGGCTCACCTTTGGGTTGAATCCCCATGAACTACTCGCCCCGTGGCTGAGTTTCCGACAATATGTATATGTATATGTATATACTAATTATTTATAAACAAACAAATGAATAGAAAAAAAAATATATATATGTACATCTAATCTTTAAAATAAACACATGTTGAGATAAAGCTACCAAACCTATTATATATGTATGTGTTTGGAAGACTCAATTCGTAGCTCCTTGGCTCTGCGTTCTTCGTAGGGAACATGGATACAAACATGGCTGCACATTGTTCCCTCCATTCACCGGATAGAGAAAGACCAAACATCCCCTCCAATCAACGATACGAAACACCCATCATTTGTAGATCATCCTAAGAAAGTTATATAATTCGCCAGCTGCCCAGGATCTTTCTGCTGAGAGGACCCATTTTTTTACCCCTAAGATGCACAACTGGTGCTTGAGCCACCCATCTGTACACATATGTTTTGGTCATTGGGCATTATCTCATTTCTAGTTTCTATGATTCAAAACAACATACACTTGAAACGTCTCGAAACCACCAGCCAGTAATGGCTTATAATCTATTCACTAGATCCATTCAAACGGGTTTGTCTTCAAATGATGGATCTCCAGCATATTTTTGGATCAATGGAAATATACCCTCTGGTTATTTAACATCGCGAAATGGAAATTCACCATTTTTTATTAAGAACGGTAAGCCATCTTAATAAAATCTATTTCAATGGGCCATGGCTTCCATGGCGAACTGTTAGTCATAACCAGGTTGGGTAACCGGGTAACCCTAAACCCTAAACCATTGGATTTGGGGCTGTCACCGGTGTCACCAGAGGACGAATCCAAGGCGCGATCTGCTGCGATGGATCTTCCTCCGTCGTCCAGTTGGGCAGTGCCGATGACAGTGATGGGTCCACCGCAGCGTGGAGCACGGAGAGGAGCACTTGTTTCTCGTCCTTGGAAAAAGGCACGGATACGGCGAAGATCTATGAATGCCTATGTGAATCTATGTGAATATCATGGGATAATCATTGAATATATAATTATATATTGGAATATATTGGAATATCATGGATGAATTGTACCCAGGTCAGCAATGGCTATTACGCAGTGTGAGTTTTCCACAAGTTACAGTAGGGATGAATGGGTGTCATCCATCAGGAGGGAATCCTACTGAATAATACTGAATATATATATGTGTGTGTGTGTGGTTTTTATATATTTGCATATTATATATATATACTTTACACACGTCTTATATCTTAATCTTATAATGATCGAGTCACAAGTGTTGCGCACACATTAATTAATCATGTTATTGAACAATCCCTAAAAATCCTCTGTTTCTGCCACCATTGCTGCCAAACCACATCCAACCCAGCACCACCCGCAGATGCAACGCCCAAATAACATCTCCGGCAAAAGGTGCTGTTCAAGCCTGCCGCACCCACAGCAATGGGGACTTTGATCGAGATCTTTGATGACATGTTTGGCAACATAACTTATCATAACTTATTAGCGCGTGAAATGGATATGCATACATTACTATACGTATGTTATATGTATGCGTGGATAATCAAGGGGCTTTTAACAACAATCTGGCAATCTAATCTGGCCACCTGGCCGTGTGTAGATGATCCCTTTGGAAGCCTCCACACGTCTCGGCGGCCAACGAGATTTTATCCTCAATTCAACAATAGACGTGCTCAACCCCAAACCGAGGATTCAAATCGCTTCTTTCCATTCATATCATTTCATTGTCAGTACAGTTAACCCCGAACAGATTCTGAAAAGTGTGCTACCAGGAGATATAGGATGTTAGTTTGCTGATGTTTCACAACCTTTCCACATTCTTCTTAGAATCTCGTTTTGTGGCTTAATTTTTCTATACCTCTATACCTTATCCTTATACTTTCCCCATATTTTCCCCAAGATTTTTCAAGATTTTCCGGAGATTTCCACATGTTACCATGGGCCTACCCTCAGGTAATTTAACAGTTTGCTATTGAAAATTGCCATTTATAGTGAATTTTCCCATTAAAAATGGTGGATCTTTCCGTTATGTAAACGTTTACGGAGAGGGTAAATCTGGACCCAAATCTGGCTCACACCTTGTGCCAGCTCCGACAGGGTGAGAAAACCGAAGCCCCGGGGAGTCGCGTAGAGATACGCGAAGTCCTTGACCTGATCGCGCTGCTGCTGACAACATCCTCGAGGTCGGCATTTGCCAAGGGAAAAACCGGGAAAAACACAGAACAATTGATTTAATATGGAAATGTTAATGTGGAAATATTTCCTGGGATTGAATGGAACTATAAAATAGGAAGTTTCACCTAATGATTTAATGGATATATATAAAGAAAATATATAATATACTGGGAACTAATGGGATTTAACCTACTGGTTGCTAGACTTGATGGGAAAATCACCAAGAATGATGGATCATTTGGAATACCCTCTGGTAATTTTGACAGTTCGCCATGGGAAAATCACCATGTAGGTAAATCATCGAACTATATAAATGGATATGTTCCATAGCGATGTTAAATTACCGCAGGGTAATCACTCCAAAATGCCCAATGATATATAATTAATGAGGTTCCTGTTTTTAAGGAACACCTGCAGGAAGCAGATGGAAGCTATGCGGCAATGTGTTTCTCATCAAACATGGGTGACTCCTGATGTCTCCTGCATGATTAAAACCCACCCATGCAATGACAAAAACTGTTCGAGAAAATGGGATGTGAACAATGTGAACCAGTACATAGGCCAAAAACATAACGTCATAACGTTTGACGATGTGAGACGATGACGTGAGGAGAAAAGCATCTTATAGGAAAATATATTACGTCTCCGTCCCTGTCAAACGGTCACAGATGGGGAAACTAGGAACTTAACAACCCCAACAACAAGCAAACATGAGCTCTGAACACAGGGGGGAGAAAAAAAAACGGTCACAGGAACCGCCTACAAACGGTACCTGTGAGGATAAAAGCCGCAAAAAATGCAGAGGACAAAAACAGACAATACAGTACCTGAACAGATGTTCTAGATCTGGCAACCTAAAAATATAGCTTGGTATCTACTATCTATATGTATCTATATGTCTGTCTGTCTATCTATCCATCCATCATCTATCTATCTGTTTATCTTTGGCATTGGGCATTGGCACCCAATTTATGGCACTCTGAGATCCTTCAAAATCCCGCGTGTCAAGTCACCCCGTCTTTCACCTCATTTCTTGGGCACTCAGACAGCAACTCCTGAGTTATGCTGTGCAGTGGGGGGAAAGGGTGGGGAACTGAGGTGAAAATATGTGAAAATATTTCACGCAGATTCTTGGATCCTTTGCAGTGTGACAGGTATCATCAAGTATAGGTATACTATGGTATACTCTGCGGCGTTTGCGTCTTTCTTTGGTACTGCCAGCGGTGATTGCATACATGTAAAATGCAAACGTATCTTCGGAAACCACCATCATAAGGTTGAAGATCTATAGCTATAGGATCTGCTATAGGCAGGGTAGAAAATATCAGTGACACCAAAATGCTGGTGAAAATGCTTGAGTTGACAACTCCAGCGATCTTTCAGTTCCCAGATTCTGACACAAGTATGGTTGTTACGGACACCCAGTTGTGCTGGTGGCAAATCCAAAATGTGGTCAAACAAGGGCCATGCAGACTTGAGTATGGATCAATCATTGTGGAACGGTTTATTCATGGTGCATGGATTGAATAGCACAACAACGCCCATTTTGTGATTCCAAAGTCTTTGTTTTCACCATCTCATTATCTAACGTATCTATAGAAAATCACCAGTCTGAATTCTGAATAGGTGACTCATCATAAATAATCTGTGAATGGGCCATCTATACCATAGCTATGTTAAATAACCAGAGGGTAACGTCATTTAAACCAAACTCGATGGCCATTTGCCAAGATTCCTGATATCCGGTCAATGTCCGATCCACGTCAAAGGCACAAAGACAGGGCCGACTGATGTCAGTGTTGATCCTTAATTTAGCATCCAACTGTTCCACGCCTGACGCATGTTCAAGAAACATTACAATGGTATACAATGGTATACAATGGTATGGCAACTGTTCGGCTTCTGATAGGATGATTGCTTTAAACAGAACCGAGTTTTGGTATTCAACTGTCCCATGACTGTTGGCCAATAGCTAACAGAACCGTGGCCAAAAACATAGCGCTTCCATACGAGGACGGTCCCAGCATGTCCAAGCTGATATATAAGCTGATGCATGTTCCCCACCTGCTTGCATCGTATATTCTCACTCCCCGTTATCTAGTTAATCTAGTTGTCTAGCCGGGCTTGCCATTACACCGATTGGGTAAACACATTGGGTTGTCTCAAAATTTGACACCACAAAATCCTATGGTTTACAACACTATATCTAATTGTCTCCATCAAACATTGCAGGCAAACTTCCAATTTCTTTCCATTTGTGTTCAAAAATCACCATTCTCCAGATCAAAAAAACATTCAAACAAGGTCCACCATCTTCATTTCCCCTTTCAAAATATCAATATATATATATAAATATAAATGTTTGAGGTAAATATAGCTAAATGATGTTAAACGCATTCAAATTCTGCCAAACTCCGCCATGTTCATCGCTTTCCAACTATAACAACGTCCACCTCCTGGCGTCAGCCGAACTTCTGAATGGATCGATTCTGGCACTGCACTGTCGTGACGCCATCCGCCGCCTCACCGACGCCGACGCGGAGAGCCACCAGCGACAAAGCCCAGAAAGCCATGGGAGACGGGCGAAACGATGGGCAAATGTGACTTCTTGAGCTGAGATTTTTCAGGATCTGACTCATTTACGAAACACAAAAAGGGCCATCTGAATGGCCACGGATTGTGCCATCTGAATTTGGCTAATTTGGCAATCTGAAATGCATCGTTTTGCCATTTCAAACGGCATTGTTCAATCCAGTAGGCCTCACAGTCATGGATGTTTCTCGCCACCTGAAACCACCCGTGTTTTGCCATGTGGTGCTGGTCCAAATCCAGTCTTTGTTCGACATAAATGTCTTTCTTAGGCCTCCATGCATTACAACTTTCATCCGTGAATCTCTTTAATATCACTTTAAGAGAAAATTGTCCTGGTAATGTATGGTATTTAATAGTGACATTCTCACTTTTAGATTGTTTCCCCTTTTTTTTTGGAAGATTGTCCTGGTTGCTGGTTAAAGGCATTCCATTTTTGTCAGTTAGCCTCTAGTGATCACACATGGCAATGGCTGGGAAATCCCTGTGGCCTAAACGGAGGCTTAATTCGCTGGGAAATCATCCGTAAACGGATCACCCTCAATGGCAATGTTTCAAAGCGGGTTGATCGTTCGCGGGGAAAATCATCATAAGTCACCCGTTAAAAATATCATCCATCTGAAAATCCTCCCAAAATCCAACATGAGTCCATATGAATCATAGTGGAGAAAAAACAACAACCCTAATATAGCTATAGGAAAACCATCTAAAACACAATATAAAACCATATAAAAACCATATCCATACCATATCCATAAACATCCATATGAATTCGAATCTATAAAACCACCCATTTTTGCGAATGGTCCCTGAAATTTCACCGAGCCAGCCCAGGTCCTGCAGGACCACCAAGCCTCGGCGCGGCCAGGTGTCTATGGAGGTGGACTTTGCGAAAATCAACGCGAAAGATGTGAGAAAATGATGATGATGATCATTATTGTTATTATTCTAGTATATATAATTATATATATATATATATATTGGTTTATAAAGCCATGAACTATTAGTTCATATTAGATCATATTAATATATTAGTTCTATCTCCCAGAACCCCTAGCGTAGGAACAAACAGCCATGGAGACAAAGACTTCAAGAATGCCCTAGAGATGCATGGTGAATGCATTTGAAATCAGTATATATATATATATCTATATATATATATCTATCTATCGATCTATCTATCGATCTATCTATCTATCTATCTACAAATATGTATGTATGTATGTATGTATGTATGTCTATCTATCTATCTATCTATCTAATTATATCTCTCTCTCTCTAAATATATATGTGTGTATACAGGCATTATTATCATTATTGTTGTAAAATCATTGAACCCCCTGAGGCTACGCAGTTGATCATTCCTGGGTGGGGAGCCCTTTTCCCGTTTTCTCCAAAGTAGCCTTCACCCTAAGCAGTAAAAAATACGTATGGAAACAACCTCAGTAGTTAAACATCATATAGTGAAACACTATATTGTTAAACAACTAAATTGTATGTCGAAAGAATCTCCTCCAAACCATGTACTAATCTTCTTATCTCATCCTGAATCCTGAGGTGAGATGCGTTGATATGGGCTCTTTAGCTCCCCATTAGATATGTTTATGGTCATTCCCAACTCGCAGCAGCTTTTCCAAGATCCATGGCCAGAACTTGGTGGAGTTTTCCCTGGACAATCACCACATCGATAAAATCATGATAAATCAACTATAATGGAACTACACTGGTAGGACAAAAGTTGCGCTTGTTGAGCTTCTAACAGTGAACATGTTTGTTTCTTCTTCTGCGCACCCTTTCCCCTTGGAATCCTAGCATGGAGCTTTGTCGTACCCCGGTCGAATTTCCACCCTCCAAAAGCTTTTAATCTTATAGATTCAAAAGCGGGTGATACTTGACCGTCCCACACCTGCCACACGAAATGGACTTGGAAATGTGATCCGCGGTTGACCGAGATGGATGCTTTGTCAAGCTGTCAAGAAGCATAAACTTTGTTCCTCCTGAAGGGTAAAGAAAGCTTATTCAGTGGGAATTGTCAAGTCGGCTGCTGCTTGCTGCACGTGCTTCAGCTTGGTTTTCATACTCCACATAAAATATCTGCATCCTCTGGTTTCAAAGCCTTTCTGTGCAGCACCCTTGCCTTCTTCATTGTTGCCATGGCGTCTCATTTGCAACTCTGTTCGATTGAGGATTTTGGGAAACGTCCATACTCTTTTCTGCAATGCTACACCTGTGCCGTGACGCACTGGTAGGACAAAAGTTGCGCTTGTTGAGCTTCCAACAGTGAACATGTTTGGTTTCTTCTTCTGCGCACCCTTTCCCCTTAGAATCCTAGCATGGAGCTTTGTCGTACCCCGGTCGAATTTCCACCCTCCAAAAGCTTTTAATCTTATAGATTCAAAAGCGGGTGATACTTGACCGTCCCACACCTGCCACACGAAATGGACTTGGAAATGTGATCCGCGGTTGACCGAGATGGATGCTTTGTCAAGCTGTCAAGAAGCATAAACTTTGTTCCTCCTGAAGGGTAAAGAAAGCTTATTCAGTGGGAATTGTCAAGTCGGCTGCTGCTTGCTGCACGTGCTTCAGCTTGGTTTTCATACTCCACATAAAATATCTGCATCCTCTGGTTTCAAAGCCTTTCTGTGCAGCACCCTTGCCTCCTTCATTGTTGCCATGGCGTCTCATTTGCAACTCTGTTCGATTGAGGATTTTGGGAAACGTCCATACTCTTTTCTGCAATGCTACACCTGTGCCGTGACGCACTGGTAGGACAAAAGTTGCGCTTGTTGAGCTTCCAACAGTGAACATGTTTGGTTTCTTCTTCTGCGCACCCTTTCCCCTTAGAATCCTAGCATGGAGCTTTGTCGTACCCCGGTCGAATTTCCACCCTCCAAAAGCTTTTAATCTTATAGATTTAAAAGCGGGTGATACTTGACCGTCCCACACCTGCCACACGAAATGGACTTGGAAATGTGATCCGCGGTTGACCGAGATGGATGCTTTGTCAAGCTGTCAAGAAGCATAAAAACTTTGTTCCTCCTGAATTATGTTCCAGAGATTTCCATAGATGGCCCGTAGATTTTCCAAAAATATATATATATATATATATTGTTTCCATAGATTTTCCATATAAATTACATGGTGGCCATGCAATGCCATGGATCTCTCCACCCAGGTGTCCCCACATCGAAGCCCTTGTCCCCACCACCGTCTGCCGCCCCACAGGCGCCGCCAGCGCCGCGGCGCTTGGCATCACCACAGTGGCGCGGGCGCCGCGGGGAGAGGCCTGCCCGGGAAAGCATGGATTTTCCCGTGCAAGGGCAGGGGGTTCCTGTGAAATTTCCCTCAAACCCCACTTCATTGATGATGGATATATGGTTACCCTCTGGTAAACTAACATAACTATGGAACATCACCATTGTTCATGGGAAAATTCACTAAAAATTGTGATTTTCCATAGTTATGTTATATAAATTACCAGAGGTTGAAGGAAAAACCTACAGGAAAGCCATAGAATTGGTACCAAACACGTTAGTTTCCTGTAAATTTCCCTTGAACCAATCCATTGAATAGCGGGTTCCTGTGAAATTTCCCTTAAAACATCTTAAAACCCCAGGGATGGATATGATATGGTTCATAATATGCCGTAACAAGTTGTAACTATCTTTTTTGAGGGGGTTTACTGTGGAGAAATATTGCGAAAAATAAAAAATATGGAGGAATGGATCGAATTGTATGTTCAAACCTCCCCCTGGAGGATCAATATATGTTGTAATTTATGTTTTATAAAAGTCTTGGGTCTAACACGCTCCAGCCTGAGGCTGCTTGTCATCACCTGGCACGCTGGGGCCAAGGGCAAGCCGAGTTGGGGTGGTTTCACCCTCCCAGGCCTTGAGCTTGCGCACGTGCCCACAGCGCCTGGGGCAAACGACAAACGGGCCCGGCCCTGCATCTAGATTGGATAATCATTGGATACATTTATAACCACGTAAGTTTACATATATATATATATACATATACGGCAAATGCCAGGGCTTTGCCCGGAACCGCAACCACGACAGGCAACGCATCATCATCATCATCATCATCATCACCATCATCAATCCCTTATTGAAGATCTTCAGTGAATGCAGAAGTTTAACAGGGGTGGGAAAATTAAACCCTTATTGAAGATCTTCAATGAATGTAGAAGTTTAACGGGGGTGGGAGAATTCAACCCTTATTGAAGATCTTCCATGAATGTAAAGTTTAACGGTGGTGGGACTTTAACATTCCCTAATACCTTTGTTCATCTTCCCAATTGAATGTAAAATTTAACGGGGGTGAGATGTTGATATTCCCTAATTGTTGATCTTCCCAATGGAATGCAGAGTTGCAACAACATTTGATTGGGAATGGGGACCCACTACGCTGCAACGCCTGGGCAAAGCCCAGGCGTACGTATATATATATATATATAGACATATAGTGCGTATAATATATGTGCGTGTGTCCATACATATGGAATCAGATGCTTATACACACATCTACGTTGGAATCAGTAGCCGTTTCACATCTCCCAACTGCCAGTTCCAACCGGTCGCAACCTCTTTGGCTCCCAGCAGCCAGTGGATCGGTGGGTTATATTCCCCAATTAGGCTCTGGTAATTTAATCATTTAACATAACTATGGCAAATCACCATTTTACCATGGAAAATCGCAATTGTGCCATGGAGAATCACCATAGAAATAGTGGATTTTCCCATGAACAATGGTGATGTTCCATAGTTATATATGTTAACGTTTACCAGAGCGTATTGTTTGTTATTGTTATGCACCCACATGATTGCATCCCCGTGACCTGTCCCATGACATTCCCTTCTGAATTGATGCTGAAAACGATCTTTTTTTTGCCTTACTTTTGATGGCTAATCCCCTATCGATGTTGCAACCTCTATCTCTCTCTATGTATTTCCCCACATTGACGTGTGGGGTTTTTGTTTTT